GACCTTCAAAATCTATTAAGAAAACTAAACTTGGTTTAGTTGCCAGGACAGGATGTTACTGTATCATGTGTATTAGTTGTAAATTAAGGAAATACCTAACTAGGATCAATTTCATATTAACACAACCTTTACCTGCTTTCTAAACTGAAAAACGTATTTAAAGTTGAAAACTTTAAAGTCTAATCTAATATATTTAAAAAATAAATACTAAAGTAAGTAATATTTTCAATAATGACTAATATTTACACTTAGTGACAGTCTAACCATCAGAAACTTTAAGAATCAGTAACCATAACAAAACACAAAACTCCAATCTGGCTCTATAAACATAAAACCTAACAACTCAATACAAAACAAACAAAGAAAAAAACAGAAAAAACCCCAATCAAAACAAAAAAAAAATCCCATTTCTATGGCAAACAGCAATATTCTGCATCTAGAACGTAATATCTCACTTAGACCATCAATCTCCAGAAAAGGCAAGCAAATATATTGCTCAATGCTTTATACATGATTTGGTCTCAGAGTTCTACAGATCAAAAAAAGGAACCAACCTTTATAATAATAAATGTCCCTTCTCAATTTATGTATCCCTATAGATTTTGCAAGAACATAATGTACATTTTTTTTTAACAAGGTTCCCTTTTTAGAAAGTTAATTTAGAGTTCTGATTATATGCCATATTTCTATGGAAAAAGATCTCAACTATTCTTATCTATTCTAATCTCAACACATGGCTTTTATGCTTGAGTTCATTAAAATACATCCAGTTAAATAAAATTGCAAAGCAGAATTAAGCTTGACGATATTTTAACCTCTAGACTGACAATAACTGAGTATTTGGTATACCCTGACAAGAACTAACAAAATGCAAAAAAAAGTTGTTTTGGTATGGAAACATGGCTAAGAGTCATATGATTGGCCATTTCAAATCAGCAAAATAGCACCAAAATAACAGRTAACACAGATCATTAATCCTCTTTTTTTTGGGCCAAATTCATTTACAGAATTAATTTACAAGTGAAAGCCTGCAAGAATAATATGTTCAAACACACACTTTTTTAAATGTCTGCCAGGTAAGAACTGAAACAACCAACCAGCTATTAGGTATTTGACAGGAGGAAGGGAAAACATTGTCTTTTTTCCCATCCTAGTTCACAGAATCATAAAATGGCCTGGGTTGGAAAGGACCTTAAAGATCGTCTAGCTCCCAATCCCTACCTCGTACAGGGATGTCACCCACTATATCAGGATGCTTAGGGCAATTCCTAGCACAAGTTTTCGTTCCTCTCCTTTGGTCAGTCATTAATCTTGCTCAGTATGGTAAACACCTTAGCAGGTCTCAAATGTGGTAAGCCAAGATGAGTAATGCTGTATGGAAAAAGTACTCATTACTGGTCTTGTACTGGCATTTTACTCTTGGAGGAAAAAGAATGATTCATTAATAATCCCTGCAAGGTGTCCTACAGAAAAGGTTGCAAAGGTAAAGATGTCATTATTTTGGGTTTCCAATAATATTTTGATTAATTCAGCAGAACAACTGTTAAATACCAATGCATGCAGCTAGGACAAAGCTTAAAACCAAATGCATTTCTAGTATGTATCTAAAGGTGGCAGCAAATGTTTGYTCTTTATTATAGCCCCAGAATTACAAGCTCTTTGAAGAGCTTCAAATGCTGTATCTCAAGGTTCTGTCAAGAAATGAGAGTCAAAGTCATCCTCAATGTCAGCTTAATGTTATGTCAAGGATCAACCTGCTCTAATGAACACAACCTCAAAGTGACAAAATTTCTGCACACCAGCCATCTCCAATGTTGCTTCTTATATTACTGATGTAAAAGCAATAAAACCTGACTAACATGGCCAKCAAATAGCAAGATAACACAAAGATACTCCAAATTAGACACATTCCAGCATCAGAATCTGTACGTTATAAAGGTACAAAAGGGGAAAATATTTCCTACCTCAGCCAAAAAAAGCCCTCTAGCCCCAACAGCTGTCTTTCCTCTCCAACGTAACATCCGGAATGCACGTAAGCTATGAAGAGGGCTCACTTAAATTCTAAACAAAAGACAAACTTGAAATATTTYGTATAAGACACTAGTAGGAGGAAACTTCTTACAGCTTGCCTAAACTTGAATTTGTTCTTTGTTCTCAGAGTTAGCACCCACACCTTCAGACAGTTTTCACTATTGCTGCAATTACTGATGTCATTAATCAAGTTACAGAAAATAGTCTAGCCTATTTTAACTCTGCAGACTATACTCTTACATGACACTCATGAAAACAAGGCCAAAAAAAGATTCTGCAGAAGARTCAGTGGCAGTGCTCTGGTCTATAGGGGGAAGTATGAGTATGTGTGTGAGAGAGAGAGGAGMTAAAAGGAGGGAGGCCATGAAGAGGGTCTGGAATTCCACAGGAACAGCCTTATTTACTTAAAGCTTAGCTCCTAGACACTTCCTGCAGAAACCTGAGCAGCATGAATTTCACTTTCTTCACTCTTACCCTTTAGGAAGGAATAAGGTTCAATAAGATAAGCAGGCTTCTAAACAAGCCCTTCAAGTTCTTTCATCTTTGGTTCCACTTGGGAAAAAATGTTCTTTGGTGGCAATTTTTTTTATTTTTGAAAATGTGCATTAGCTACAAGACATCCATTACACATATGATGTGCATATCTGTAAAATAACTTTAAAAAGCATATGAATGTATACATATATATTCTAGTAATTTTTAAAAAAAAAAAAAAAATTGTAGAGTATGATAAATTAAACTAGCTAACCATCCAAATGAAAAAGGATTACTTTCCTCATCCCAGAAAGTTTACAAGAATATCACTTGAAACATTATGCTATGTTGTTTGAGCAGATGAAGTGATGAGCCTCACCTCAAATCTGACCAAACTAGGAATTAAGCATGATTTGAACATACTGCTTTAACTAGTTAGCAAAATACACAAAAGAGTAACAACAAAAAAATACAAATTGTAAATTCTCAACTAGATATAATAAATTACAAGCTAAATTCTCAGGTGTATGTTCTTTGTTTTGCTTAGCTACATTTGGACCCTACTTTCTCTAGTCAGGATGAATTTGAGGTTGACATTTCACCATACTTTCCAGAAAATACCTCTTGATATTTCAGGTTTTGAACTAAATGGCTTAGCCAGGCTGAYACACAGCAAAGTCACTGAAATTTAGAGTCGACTGTCAATTGGTTTGTAGTTGCTACAGTTTCTGTCAAATGGAAACCTACATACAGGGAATGTATCASTGTGAGGAAAAAGTTGACACTGTGAAGAACAGCAGAAGCACTCTATCCATGACTTATTACTCCCTATATGATATTGCTATGTTGCACTGTGTAGCCACCCAGACGGATTTGTGCACAGTCAGAATGACATGCAAGGAATATGGAAATGGTCACCATCTGCTATCAGAGCATTACTGAATAGGCCCACTTTATCTAGGAAGCTGTTGAAGGGAGAATGTGTGTTTGCTTCATGGGACATGGTAGGGTCTACTGTGTGCTGAAAAAGTAGAAGTTAAGCAGATCTTAATGAACCTCAGTGGCAATTTTTTTTTTCCCACTGTGATGACACTTGGGATAAAGTTAATAACCCAGTCAGTTGAATAGGAAGTTAGTTTCAGACAGGTCAAGGTTAGGAGAAAAATACAAGTTTAAAGGCTTAATGCGTGGTGTTTTATCAATAAATTATTTGCAAGAATGATGGAAGTGAGAAACATTAGCAAACCAATAACCAACATGAGACTTCCCATTTGAAATGGAGAAGTTGTAGAGTGTATCTTCACCCATTAGTGCAGCTCCCTCCTCACCACAAAGGCAAAAAAGAAAATCCTATTAATGTGGAAAAGGAATTAATGAGAGAAGACACAAGAAATTTTGCACATTTTTTCTTAGTTTGAGAAGACACTAAAAGAAAATGATTGACAAAGTTATCTGTATCTGTTACCAGTTTCAGTAGCTAAAATGAAACTGGAGATGGCTTCTCCCTTCAGCTTTAATTTATGGTGTTTCAGAGGAAAGGGACAAAAAAACAGTGAGAAAAAAAGAACATATAAAGGTCTCTGCATAAAATAATACTCCTGATAACAACATATGGGAATGTATTCTAGATGTATGAGAGATGAACTACCACAAAAAAATAAGTAATGCTCCCTATAAGTCATGCCTACTGGAGGGAAAAAAAAAAAAAAACCCAACTAAACGAAATCTCAAGGCAGCTTGCACTTTTACAGTTTGTGGGCTCATTGAGAAAAACAAATTTTTATTTCTACTGAACAGAGAAGGTGTAGAAGTTTTAAGAGCTCTGGCTCAGAACACACACAAARAAGACTGTTTTCGGAAATTTCAGACTAAAAGAGTAACTAAGAATAATTAAACAGTTTTACTTTCCTAAAGAATACTTTGTGAAATAGATGAAAATCCTACCCAAAATAGTAGATTGTTAATACTGATTAGTTCACATATTAACCACGCTTTTTTTACCTAACCAGACATTTTTTAATCTAATCTTGAAAATTCACCTTAAGATACGTGACTTATGGAAGTCTCATGGTTTAAGTCCAGCTGAAAAATAGGCACCATGCAGCCATTCACTTCCACTTGTGAGGAAGGAGTGATGCAGAAGCAGCTTTTAGCTGATATTTCAGCCCACCCAGAAATATTTCGGGATGAAYGAAGAGAGACAAATCAAAATCAAGGTTGCTTAAATAGAGAGCGGAGAACAACTTCTCACAAGGTGGGTGCGGCATGAAACCTTTAGAACTGAAAACTAGGAATGAAAAGGTAATGAAAAGGTAATGAATGTGAAGTGGTGCTTGATGGAGAAATGCTGAAGTCTAGAAGTTTACAGCATCTAACATGTTCAGAYCCATGATTTCAACATGTCATTAGGCTGCAAGCTTATCTGAACACAGAGTTAACCACCTGCAAATCATTTCATGTCCAACTGTGAAGTATTACAGCCTTAATTCACTTACCTCCCATAATTTTAGATTGGCAGTTGATAAATTCTGGCTTCTTGTCTGTAAGGTATCGCTGACAAGTGTGATGTAGAATCTGAAAGAATGTGCATTTTTCTGAGGCTGTGCTTGCTACCCATTGGTCAAACGCATTTTCAAATAGTAAATCAAATTCTGGGGAATCCTAGAAGAAAAAACAACACACTGCTATTATTCCAGTTATATAAATGATTTGGAGAAAGGTATTTTTTAAAATTTACTGTGCTGCAAAAAGCAGAAAGGTCATGCAACTCATGACCATCCTGGTATTATTGCATATTCTTGGATGAAACAGACAAAAAAGGCAGTAATTTGTTTTTATTACTGTTATTTTTAATGAGATATAGTCAGCTATGACAAAAATATCTGAAAACAGAAATAATTAAAATCAAAACATTAAAAGTCAAATTCTCATAAGAAACCCTCGCTATCTACAGATATATAGTCACTTATACATTCAATATTATGCAAGCATTTATGCCTCTTAACACAAAACCTACGGTCACACTGTATTACAGACCATGTGGCTCTGYTCTCCATGCTCAACCAAATAAGCTAAGCAAATAACAAAGTACTAGCTATTGCATTTAATGCATTTTCACAAAGTGTTGCAAAGGACTCAGGATAACATGAACAAAAGACCATTCCTAGAACAAACTGAAGTGCAGCTCTACACCAGCATCAGCAGCCAAAATAAGAGGATTTTATAAAGTAGTGCTATATATTCAGAATATTTGCTAAACATTGTTTTGCAATCTCATCTAGTAAATGCTCTTTTCCAACTGATGACACTAGGAATTCACAGGAAGACAAGTTTGAAAGGAACATTTCTAAGCTTAAGAACATGGTAGGACTTTCAATCTGTTATGTACACAGCAGATGCTGTAAAAAAGCCTAAAACTCATATCCCTTATCTATTTGTCTTTTCTCTTGTTTCCATAGCTTCCCTAACACAAGAAAACAGAATTCCACTCCTTGCTTTTCACAGGGTAGTGGCCAAGGGCTTCTTTTTTGTACCAAGACTTTAGTAGTAACTGGACTTGGTACTAAGTACTTAGTTACCAACCAAGACTTGGGTAGTAACAGAATTTGGTGCATCATAGCTAAAATGCTTGGGTGGCTGATCAGAGCTCAACTTGGAAAAAACCAAGGGATTTAGTCACACAAACATTTTGCTCTAGAAAGAGCACTAAATTACTTTGTGATCACATAATATGAGCCACATTTCTAACTTCTAATTACATTGCTTTACTACTGCAGAATTGTATTCATAAGCCTATAACATATATTAGTACAACTAATTAGTACATAATTAGTACATATTAGTACAACTTTATCTTGAGATAGCTCAAGGTGGGCTGTATAGTCCAAATTAAAAGAATAATTCTRTAACTATTTAATAGGGTTATTTTATTTTTGGCAGTTTTTTGTTTAAATCAGTGTTCACTTGCCATTTGCAGCTGAAGGATACTATCACGYATTGTAGCATAAGATAAGAAATGCCAAAACATCTGAGGAGAGGACTGTACTAGAAAAAATGCAGGATTCACAAGATTTCACAAACTTGAACCTCAGTAACTTTTTCTGTTCTTACTTCTACCTATTATTCTATCTCACAGCACAGCTGCATGCTAAAGTAGACCCCAAGAGGCTTATAGCTGAAGCAAACAAAGCTCTTGCTTYGCTCTGCTCTTWAAAAAAAAAAAAAAAAAAGAAAAAGTGGTAGAAAAACTACAGATAGACAAAAAGAAAGAACCCCATATGACAGAATTTTAGCTTCCTCCCATGTTTCCCATTAAAATTTACTTCACGTATTTCACTGAATTTATTTCTATTGAGAATTTGCACTTAAAACTCTATTTTCAGATGCCTTTTCAAAAAAGAAAGAATGCCTGGTTCGCAAATCAGTTACATAAGAGCTCAATTTTCATTTTCCTAGAAATGCTCCAACTCACCCGATTAGGGTCTATACCATTGACCTGGCGAAGCTGCTCGAGCATCCACTGCGTTCTCCTGACAAAAGACGTAGAGCCTTCAAACTGCTTCACCTTCGTGATTGATGCTTGAGCTGGTTTCTTGTTTGTCACTGAACATATAAAAAAAACATGTAACTGAAATGGGCTTTGTGATTTGGGAACATGCTGTTTACTTCACTTATCAGTAGCTGTTTTGTTGGTGTATTTCCTACAATGTCCCACGAAGCAAATACATGTCACCGATTCTGACAGCAGAATCCATCCTCTTTCCAGGACAACATACTGCAAAGCATATTCCTTATTGTCAGAATGGTGATGTGATGCCAAACAAGCTGTCTACTACTCAAAATTGGATGTATTTTAGCCTCATCAACTCAAGTCACCAACATCCTCTAAAACAACCCAGAACTACAACAAAGGTCTTTCCATTTAATTCTCAAAATCACAGAATGGCCTGGGCTGGAAGGGACCTTAAAGCCAGTTCCAAACTCCTGCCAAGGTCAGGGATACCTGCCACTAGATCAGGCTGCTCAGAGCTCCATCCAGCCTGTCCTAAACACCTTCAGTGACAGGGCATCCACCACCTCTCTGGGCAACCTATTCTAGTGCCTCACCACCTTCCCAGTGGACTTTTTTTCCTAGTATCAAACCTAAACCTTCTGTCTTTCTATGTGAAGTCATTTCTCCTTGTTCTGTTACTACATGGTCTTGTAAAAAGTCCCYCTCCAGATTTCTTGTAGGCTCYACAGTACCGGAAAGCTTTAATTAGGTCATCCCAAAGCCWTCTCTTGCTCAGGCTGGACAAAYCCAATTCTCTCAGATATTTCTCACAGGAGAGGTGCGCTATTAATTACCTTACTGCTCTCTTTCCCCCATGCTAATTTAAGTATATTCAGCAATGAGTATTAATAATTTCTTTCTCATCTTCTCAATTTCAGAAACAGAGAAGGAAAAAAAAAAACAATCATATGACCATGTAAGTATATGCATCTTATTAAAAAGACCTGTTACTTTAGACTGAATTTCATATCATTGATAGAAAAAACCAAAATKTTTTGCCAATCTTTTCACAGCATGGCACATGTATGCCACGCTTGGATAACAGCATCAATATTTGTGACATTTGATTCCCAGTAACAGACATAGGTATATGCACTTACTACACTGTAAATCCACCAAATCAGACAACAGTTTGTGAAAAATACAGGCATAAGAATCAGGGAACTAAAGTTTGWTTGACACCTCCCTTTCCGAATATTAGGTACCACAAACAACAGCCACGAATAAGAATTATATTACTTATTACAAACAAAATGTATGTGAAAAATCACAAACAAAGAAGACGGCTCTGATTTTGGAAAAGTATAAAAAATATAAATCCTTATAAATATAAGCAATATAAATGCTCAAATTAGTCTATCAGTAAGACAGAATAAGGTTTTCAGAGAGTACTTAAACAATAAGGCTAACTTTTCAACAGCAAGAAAATTAACTTCCTGCATTAGATGTTTTCTCTGAACAAATACTGTTTTATTCATAATATTTAACCTCCATGAAAGGTCTATAAGCAGCTTTAGATAGTTTCTGTAGTCAAATGTGTATTTTATTTACATGTCACTTTTCTGTTGCTGTATGTTAAGTCACTCCCAAACCCATTTCCACTTTCTGTGAAGACATAATTTGTATAAACATTGTATTGCATAATCTACTAAAGCTGGTGTGTCATCTATTTTTTTCTACTTAAACTCTTTCCAAAAATAATTTTATCCATATGGTCCACAAAATAAGAGTATTATTGGAAAAGTCGCTTTTCTCTGCTTTTAGATGCTGGTGTTTAAAGAAAGCTTCTAAAATAATCAAGACTTAAACAGCAAGATTGCTTATTTTTGTGCACCCTGTTTGCCCAAATAACCAGAATAAGTAAGAGGATTCCCAGTCTGAAAATGTGTGTTGCACTTCTGCACCCAGGGACACAGTTAAACAGTAAGTAAATACTGATGTAATACCTTATCATTCCATAAAGTCAAAAAGTTAATATTGGTTCTTAGAATGAATTTTTTTAATGCATAGATCGAGTCTTGATTTGGAATAGATAGCAAAAGCAGATTAATAAGAAAAGCTCTTTTCAGTATCTCAGATTTAAAAGTTTTCAGTTCTGTGTGTGTCTGTGAAAGTCCAAATATCCTTATGAGCACTAAACTCAATAAACAGAAAATTAATCTCTAAGAAAATTTTAGTAGGTAAAAAAAAAAAAAAAAAAAAAAATACTAGCATTCCACTAGCATATCCAAGGCAGATAATTTAAGAAGCTATCTTGGAACCGAAAGCACAGCTGGACTCAATATATTGATCAGACTATTGGCAACATAGTAAACAGATTGCCAGAAATCTCCTCATTGAGAGTGGAAGCACTGGGAGCCAAACTGGTGGATTGTGCAGTATGCGATTTAGAGCTATACATCAAATGGTAYAGAACACAGAAGATCAATGCAGTATCAGAAAGGTAGCAACAAAATTAGACCAGARCAACTACTGAAATGCAAAGACTAGGTATTACTAAGAAGTGAGATTAGTATTAAAAATCATTGCTTGCTCAGTGGCTTATGAACCCAAACGCAACACTCCCAATAAAGCATGGGTGTCAGGAATCCTATTTATACCTATGGGATATATACAGGTTCTGTTTCTACTGCAAGTCTACACAACACTGAGTGCAAAACAAACTCAAAGATGTATAAGCTTGTATGCCTATCTAAATTTACTCTTTATATGTATTCATGTCATTTTTGTCAACTCCAATGATCACTCTGAAACACTTTACAGCACTCTGCTARACCGAGTCTCACTATATTCTGCAAAGTACTAATTGAAGGCTATTTAACAGTGGCTCAACTATTATGGCCTTGGGCTATTCTCTTTCCATGTAAAATGGGCAATGAGCTACTGCTAAATGTGCTGTGTATTGAATAGAAAAAACTGTGCATACCACATGTAAGTCACATATATAATTAACACTAGCAGCAGTGCAAAACAAAGAGTTTGACACCAGGAAGCACTAGATAGAATGACTGTGGGATCAAACACTAGCTTTTCCCCCTCAGAATCTCATGGATAACCAATTACAAAATGTATTGCCATAAACTTTAATAGAGCAAACTTCTATTTGCTTTGAAGGCTTCTAYATGACATACATTCTAGTGCTCTTGAAACAGAGGCCATTACCCCTTTCAAGTGAGAATATCAAATTTTACAGATGATAGTTAAACACTGTATGTCTAATCTCAACATCTCCAGAAACTGGTTGGTTTGACAATCTTCTTTTCCAAACTTCTCTTTGTACCACTTTTAATAAACAACGAACAGTAGCTTTGTCTTAATTTGGAGCCATTAGTGCTCTGTACTGCAGTGAAAGAATCACAGTACAATTCCAAATTTCAACACCTCCCAAAAATGCCTATTAGAGATAAACTATAAAAGCATCTTGATTAGATGATTGTTTCTGTATCATCCACCACACCGTAACGCTGGGAGAGGCCAAGATGGTTTCTCTTCTATGGAGGAACTTACAAGGGCCAGTCACCTTAGGCAGAACTTGGTCTTAAAGTAAATGATGCAATCCTCTTGGAAAGTGGCAGTTCCTCCTTTACATGTCAAATTCATTATTATTGTGTGCCACCAAACAGATCTAGCTCGATTTCACTTTTTGTGTCTTAGTATTTTAGGGAAGAGCTAGCATTGCTATAGCATTCAAAAAATCAACTACCCACGAACCCACCAAACACACTTTAAACCATCACTTAGTCCATGACAGCTTGACAGTAGCATGGCAGTCACTGCAACTCTGAGAAACCCTTTGCCAGTCGGGACAACCATCCTCACTGGCTGCTCATTATGTTGCTCAAAAAACTAGAACACTTCACCAGCCACTGAGTGGGAGTTACCTTCCAAACACATAAAAAGTATTTTCTAAAAATGAAAAAATGTGGAAGCAATTACATACACCTAGACACACCCCGTCTCTGGCAAATAATTTAGGTATTTTTGCTATAATCTTCCGCAATCATTACCTACCTTAATAAAAGGCACTATTTCAATTATGCTTCAATTTTAAGTTAATTTTTTGTTTGCTTTGCCTTTTTTAAAAACAAATTTTAACACTATGCCTTCCAAGTAAGAAGCTGTACCAGTGTGGACAAAATATATCTAATTGGAACCCATCAATAAATGGTAGGTTCACATGGCATTTCTGTGTGTCATAGATGGAATTAAGATATCTTGTTTTTAAGCAACATACATTTATTGGTGAAGTAGGAAAATGTATGAGAAATCAGCTAGCGAAATTTAGGATGGAAGACATTATGAGGTTTGGTTTTGTGACTTTTTTGGACCTGTCTATTTCTTTCTATGTGGTTTTACTTTGTTTACACTAGATTAACATACATCCAGAGTCAGAAACASTGCTATTTCTTCTGGGATTGAAGACATAATTAACCACTTTTCATCATAAATAAAAATATGTTGTAGTATTAAGTTTCAAAGATGTTTTTAAAGCCAGAGAGGCATGCATTTAAGTGAAATACTCGTTTCAAAAGCAGTTCAGAGAAYACAAGGCAGAAATAGAACAGATTCAGCTTTGGAGAATACTGTGACAGAGTCAGGAAAGTCATTGTTCTTATCATTTGCAACACATGGAAACAAAAGCACTTGAATTCAAGACCTCATTTAGAATACAGTCCCACATGCATGTCTAGCATCTAATGCAGCAAATCAATACAGCCCCTCATACACAAAAAGCTGTATTTATACAGCATAAACTGCCATGGAGCTAAAGTACATCTCATCTACAACCTAAAATGCATTTTCTTTATTTTTATGTTCTTCTAAAGTAACTTAAATTAAAAACATAAACTGAAAACCAATCCCTTAAATATCTACTGCACCTGGCCTTAAGAAACAGTCTGAGAGCTCTAAACCTATCCACTATGAACTTTCATTTATTTTTCTTCAAATTTGGATCTATGCATTTAATAACTCAGATTCTGGGTAATTAGGCATCTTATGACAAATGGCTTAATCGCTTCACAAAATTTCTAGTCATATTGTGATGTAT